GCTCCAAGTGTGTTGGACTATGCTTGTATATTGGACCATGATTTTGCTTCACATGGCCTCTTCTTTCTTAATTTTTCTTCACCCTTTTTCAGATTACATAATGTCTACCAGCATTCACATTCAGTGACTGTTTTATTTTTTGGTATTTGTGCTGGCATTGTGGCTTGAACTCAGGGCCCTGTGTTCTCAAGTCTGGCTTTCTACCTCTTAAGCCACACCTCCAACCTAGCTTTTGGTTGGTCAGTTGGAAATGGAGTCTCACAGGCTTTTCTCCCCCCAGGCTTGCTATGAAGTGCAATTGTCTAATCTCAGCCTCCTTAGGTGCTAGGATGACAAATGTGAGTCTCGGGTGCCTGGGTATCCTCAGAGAACTTTTCTATCAGGAGGCTCTGAACTCCACATTCCAGGTCCCCCAACACAGGACTGTGACACCTGGTCCTTGGATACAACTGCCCTCCTGCACCCATGCATGGAGTGTGACTTCCCACCACCCAGGAAGATGCTGGCTCTTGTGTCTCTCAGAGTCTCCTCCATGACTACTTCTGTTCAGCACACATGGTACCTGGAAGCCTTTCATCCCCGAGGCTAACTAAGCACTTTCCCCGCCGAAGCCCCCAGATTCTTTTCCCTGATCTATTTTCTGTGGCAAGACACAGCCCTCTCCAGGATTATTTCATATATTCATCCCTTTATTCATTTGTCCCCTATTCCCATTGCTGGTAGACCCATGAGACCAGAGCTGGTGGCACACAGTATATGCCTATTAAATGAGCAAATGAATTCTTGTCAGCGATTATATGCCAGGGTTAGCTAACTTTCTGTGAAAGGCCAAACATAAATGTTTTAATTTTGCAAGATGGTGCAAAAGTAGCTGCTGGCAACACATATACAAATGGGCCTGCTGTGTTCCAACAAAGCTTTATTTATAAAAACAGGCAATGGGCCAAATGTGGTCCATAAACCATAGCTTGCCAACTTCTGCAGTGAACTTTCTTGTGTAATACAAAAGGTCAACTAACTAATAAAACTGTAAATTATTACCTCAGTCTTCATCAACAGCATGAGAATAAATAAGGAAATGAGACAGTGTACTTTAGGTTAAGACAGATGTGCTACACATACAGTAGTGGCCTTGAAAGCAACAGCCCAAAGTCTACAGTAAGTAAACTGAATATCCAGTTTATGGAAGATTAGCCTCGAGGGTAAAATTATTTGTGGGTGAGTCTATGTAGGAAGCCACATCCCAAGATAATAAGATGTTAGGGCAGGTATGATAAAAATATCACACAGAAGACACAGCTATGTTGTGTTGTTGGGACACCTGGGCTGGGTATAAAGGCTGCTCAGAGCAGGAGCCAGACATTACCACTTCCTTCCCACCAGCCAGCCTCCACCATGTGCCACACCAGCTGTTCCTCAGGCTGCCAGCCGGCCTGCTGCGTGTCCAGTCCCTGCCAGTCATCCTGCTGTGTGTCCAATCCCTGCCAGCCGACCTGCTGTGTGTCCAATCCCTGCCAGTCATCCTGCTGTGTGTCCAGTCCCTGCCAGTCTTCCTGCTGTGTGTCCAGTCCCTGCCAGCCATCCTGCTGTGTGTCCAGTCCCTGCCAGTCATCCTGCTGTGTGTCCAGTCCCTGCCAGTCATCCTGCTGTGTGTCCAGTCCCTGCCAGCTGGCCTGCTGCGTGTCCAATCCCTGCCAGCCATCCTGCTGTGTGCCCGTGAGCTGCAGACCTGCCATGTGCATTCCTGTGAGATTGCAGGTGGCCTGCTGCTCCCCTGTGAGCTGTAGACCTAGTGTGTGTGTGGCTCCTTCCTGCCAGTCCTCCGTGTGTGTTCCTGTGAGCTGCAGGCCTGCTGTGTGTGTGGTCCCCAGCTGCCAGTCCTCTGGGTGCTGCCAGCCGTCCTGCCCCACCCTGGTCTGCAGACCTGTGTCCTGCAGCACCTCTGCCTGCTGCTGACCAGCAGAGCCCGGCCTGCTCTTCCCAGCATGTGTGCCCGCATCCACACCCTTCCCAGAACCTGTGCTCTGTGGCCGAGGTGCAGCACCTGAGGCAGGTGTAGGGTCTGCTCACCCAACCCTGGACTTCCCAGTGATAACACAGAGGACAGCCGAAATATCCAGATCACCCTGTCCCTGTCCCTGGAGAAGTTCTGGGTCCCAGCTCCTTCTCTTCCCCATGTGAACCAAATAAATCCATGTTTGTAGCACACCTCTTGTCTCTCTCTCTCTCTCATCTTCAATTGTGAAGCTGTCTCCGTAAACCCTAGGACACAAATGTGGCCCATACCCCTCCTCTGCTTGCCTTCCCCCTCCCCTCCTCTCCACTGGCCCTCCCCCGCTGGCCCTCCCACTCCCTTCCTCTCCACTGTCCCTCCCCTGCCAGCCCTCCCCCTCCCCTCCTCTCCACTGGCCCTCCCCCGCTGGCCCTCCCACTCCCTTCCTCTCCACTGGCCCTCC